TACTAAAAATTATAACTTAGAAAATATTAATGCCATTTCATGCTTGTATTGTACCTGCAATTTTTCAATAATATTTCTATAATCCCAAGCAGGCCCTCCAAGAGCTTCCTTATAACGTGGTCCAGAGCGAGCTGACAGTCGCCAACCCATGGCTGCTCTCTGCACCATATTTGAATGGCTCTTCATAAAAAGAGTATTAACTTGGCTGTCCAAATCCACTGGAATAGCAATTCCACGATTCTTAGCTGAAAAAGAAAGATTTTAAATATTTTCCTCTTAATTTGACTAGAGCTTCTTACACATTACCAAAATAATATTATCAACACAGAACAAATAAAAAAAATAAGATAAATAAGTGCTGGAATGTAATATACAGTTAAGTAATATACTTAAGAATACTGTAGTGCATATTTGAAAGTTGCTAAAACAGTAGATCTTAAAGTTTTCATTAAAAAAATTGTAACTATGTGAGGTGACACATATGTTAACTAAATTCATTATTGTAATGATTTTACGCTATGTACATATGGTAAATCATTATCTTGTACAGCTTAATACAATGCTATATGTTCACAATATCTCAATACAACTAGTTAAAAAAAGAAAAAACAGATCTAAACTTTAAATCCTACCATTAAATTGTTTTATATGACTGCAAAAGCTTTTAAACTGAAAGTATTTCAATTTTTAAGACCAATTATTAATGTAGGCTCATTAAACATTCAAGAACTTATTTATTTCTTGATGATTAATTTTTGGAATGCACTTCATACTGCATCAATATAGGAAAACACTGCATAAAAACCACACAAATTATACAAAACACCATATAACAACCTTCCCAGATACCAAGGAAAATAAGAAAGCAGACAGAAAATACATGATAAAATCCTGCCAGTNAAATTACTCTGGTAGCAGATTTATTTAAGTGAGGAAAGAGAGAAGGAGAGAACAGTGAATTCCTACAGTGGTCCAAGAAGGAAGCAATGAGGGGTTAAACAACGCCTTTGTGGAGGGGAAGGAAGGAGAGGTACAAATGCAGAGGAACAGAATTTCCAGAGCTTTGCAACTCTGCAGGTAGAAAGCACAAAAAAAGAAGAAGAAACATGCTTTCTCCCAAACATCAAACTGAGGTTTTATACCAAATCATCACTCTTCCAAACCTACCTTGATTATAGATGTAGAGATACGTAATTACTTTTTTAGACTTCCTATCACACACGCATCTTTACGGCATACAAAAAGTCACTAAACTTTCCTGCTAAATCATAAGGTTTGGGCCAGTAGAGGAAAATGGTAGAAAATGAAATCTTAGAGCTTGGAAATAAATCTTTAGACAAATGCAGTTTCAGTGACTATTTTAAACCCCCACATCTCTGCTATCGCGCTGTGCAGGAAGTGACCTGACTTCACAAGGAGCTCCACTGAAGGGGGGCCCAGATGGAAAGCACAACATGGAATCTCACTTGCGGTTCCAAGTTCTTTGTGTCTCGATTTTAAAGGGTTGTGAACAGCACACCCTCTACGCCCTGTGTAGGGCCAACTGGTGTTTTCCCCCATTGCATTTGCTAAATACTGAGGGAGGAAGAGGAGAAGGGGAAAAGGGAAGGAGGGAGAAAGAAGGAAGAAAAGGAGGAAGACGGGAGACTGCCTTAAAATGTAAAATATAGAAATATACTTGTCAGCTGAGATAGTGTGTTCCTATGTTAAAAAAAAAATAACATTATTATTTCTTTGCTTTTCCTTTGGATTTTGTCTTTTAATGGTTAGTCTGTTTCCTAGCTGGTTTGGTTCTCCCCACCGCCAAAAAAAATTATTTTAGGGCTGTTTTATAATAATTTGAAAACTATAATATTAAAAGCTCAGAAGTTATGTAGAAAGCATGAACAACAGAACTAGATTCATCTATAAGTCCCTAATTCAGAGATAACCCATGTTAATATTTTATTTATATCCTTCTGGACATTTTGCTATGTGTGCCTTTTAAAATAAAAACTAGGGGGCCGGCCGAGTGGCACGATGGTTAAGAACTGGCTTGGGACACCAGAGGGCCATGGTTCGGATCCCACATATGAGGGCCAGTGACACTGCCCTCTACAGCTAAGATGCTGAACAACAGCTCAACCTGGAGCTGTCTGTTCCCCTTCCCCCAATTCCCCAGTGCTGNATTTGTGCAGCTGCAAGCCAAGGAATGGCAAGAAAAGCCAGTAAACACCAGAGGCTAAGAGAAAGGCATAAACAGATTCATCCCTCGGGTGTTCAGAGAGAGCACGGTGCAGCTGACACCTTGATTCTAGCCTCTGAACTGCGACACAGTAAGTTTCTGTTTAAAAAAAATCAAATGCAATGCTCAAATAAAAACATTTCAGAACATGTAAGGCTCAGAAATTTTTCTCTGAACCCTCTATGAAAATTACCCACCCCACCCAACAAAAAAACAAAAACGAGAAAGGAATCCAAAAAAATGTCAATGTGAATACAAGATATCATGGCAACTGAGTGTGAACGTGAAAAGAATAAAGCTAATAACAAATGAAAGATCCGTTAGATATTAATGGTTGGGAAATTCTCTTCCAGTTAAAAAGTTTTAATATCATAGCACTACTTTTTTTTGTCTCTAACAGTTATACAATGAAAAATATTTACATGGCATAGTATTATAAAGATCTGATCATTTAGTTTTAAATTTTATCAACCTATAAGGGATTTCATTATATTTCAGAACAGAATACAAATGTCGCAAATCATCACAACATAAAACCAACAATCTGTCAAGCAACAATTAGAACACAGAGTGGGAGTAAAGAGGTAGAAATGAAGCAATACGTTCATTTCCTTATTTTTCAAAGTGTGGAGCACACAGACATTATTTAGAGCTGGTAAATCAAGAGATAAAGATGTAAGGATAGTATTCAAAGTTATAATGATGGTCATTGGAAGACTTTTTTAAATGAATGAAAACAGGAAGGAAGGAAGGAAGGAAGGAAGGAAGGAAGGAAGGAAGGAAGGAAGGAAGGAAGGAAGGAAGGAAGGAAGGAAATAAGGAAAGAAGGGAGGGAGAGAGAGAGAATGTGTCTGGCTTGCTTCATATAATTAAAGGAAAGCAACAATAGTAGACAGTACTAATTCTACTGATGAAAATTCTCTGAAGCTGAAAGATACTTAAAACCTTCTTTGAAAATAAACAATTTTAGCTAGTGACACAAAAAGTTACCACTTTACACAAGAGTTTTCAAGCTGAAGTTTTAAGGAAATAATAACAGCTCTCAGGCAACCCTAAACAATCAATTGCATCGCTGCCTAGATTTCCCTAGTGAATGTTTTCCTAGCATCCATTATAAATTTCCCTTCCCAAAGCATACGATGTCTCTATTTATGTCCATCACTCACAACAGAGCAACTGCCTCCTGTCCCATCTGAAGGACAGACAGCCTTGATCCTGCCAAGCTGCACATATTTTTATAAATACTTAATCCTGCACCATGATCAAATCCTGGCACGACTTTCATCCTTTTCTGGCTGCATCACACATAAGCTGGGTTTGCTCTAAACATTTACAAGTCAAACAGAAGATAATACCGCTTATATGTTATTTTCTAAGCAACCAAAATAACAAACGTTGCAAACCTTAATATTGCTCAAAACATATTACAACCAAGTTTCCACTAAAGTTTAAACAAGTGGCGGGGGGAGGGGATTTATCACCCCTTTACGAATCAGGTACATTAGATACAACTGACCATTAAATAAGTGTTGTTGCTATGAATCCGACTGACACAAAGAAGTGCTTAATGAATATTTTCCAATGACACCAGTGGAAATGTTGGCCAATGGCAGCACCTCTGTTATTCTTAGCAGGGCAGCCCACCCCATTAGTGAGGTCAGGAAAACCTCACCCCGCCTGATGCTCCTGTGAGCTGCTGCTGCTATTCCACTATGGCCAGCACCATGGACAAACAGGCTGAGGATAAACCAGACTCTAATTTCCCAAAATTTGTTAAAAGGGATTTTTCTGTTGTTGTTTTTTCCAAAACTGTACCACTTTAATTGGTATGTTCTAGTCTCCTGTCTTAGCACAAATTGGACAATATAAATTAACTGGGTAAAATATGCTACTTTCTTTTCTTTTTTAAAATTTTTAATTAAAGTTTATTGGGTGACAATTGTTAGCAAAGTTACATAGATTTCAGGTGTACAATTCTGTAATACATCATCTAT